CACCTGTGGCTGGCCCAGCCACAGCACCGCACTTGCTTCATCCACAGAGCAACAGAGCTGGCCCTCAAGGGTCAGAGCTGCAGCATGACTGCTCTTCCGCCAGCAGGTGCTGGACCACAGCAAGAGCAGACGCACAGACCAGCACATTTCTAGGCAGTGAGTTTTGGAAGGAATGCTTCTTCCTTTGCAAGCCTCCCATCCACACCCGAGGGGTCATATAAGGAGAACACGGCTGGGGGATACCAAGAGCAATCTCTTCTCTGCGTTGGGCACGATAATTTGCCTCTAATGCATCCTACTCCCCATTTATCCCCTTTCTCCAGCAATGATGTAACCCTGTCTCCCGAACTCCTCAAGGTCAGCCCCAGGAAGGGAGAGGGATGCCAGAAAGGTAGGACAATCAGCATTTTGCTCTGAGGATTTTGTTTTTCTTTTAGGCAACATGTTTTCAAATTTCACTTATAATTGCTAATAAAGAGGGACACACCTTCAGCTGAAAAAGGGAAAATGGCGTCTGGTAGTGAAGGCAGCCAGAGCCCAAGAGAAAACAGGGGCTTGGGCTGCTCTCACGGCCAAGGGTGATTTCAGCTCCTTCGGGCTGCAGCCTCCAACAAGGCCGAGTCGCCCAAGAGGTGGCTGACGCTAGGGGAGCAGGGCCATCCTCCTAAGCTCAGCTCCAGGCTCTGGCAAGGCAGCGGGGAAAACCCTCAACTGCGCCCACCTCGTGCCCTTCTCCCACTTCAATCTGCATCCGCCCACCAGTCATCCATGAGCAACCCACCTACGGGTTCGCTTGGTGGACGTGCAGATCTCATTTGAGGCTTCCTGCTGGAGGCAGAAGCAGTTTCTTCCCCTCTCCCCTCCTCTCAGCTACCTTGAGGACTCTGTTCCCCTCTCTCCCCCACTAACCACCCCTGCTTCTTGCCTTCCTCCCCCAAGTGAGGGAAGGAAAGCTTCCTCCCTCATCCCTACCACACCTGTCCGGAGCCACTATAGGATGCTGGATACACACATATCCAACAAGCACAGCCACACCACACAAAGAGGCAGGCAGCCTCCTGCTTGAACCACACGCACAGTGTTGACAATCCCATGTTGTCCAATTGGAGGCACGGCGGTGCTTGACAAAAACAAACACCCTTCCAGTCCCCACCCGTAAACCAACACAAAGGCCACCAAGAATTTCAGGACCCGGCACTGTCTGTAGAGAGGAGAGCTGGGTCGGACAAAGACATCATTCCATCCTCCCAACTAACCATGACAACTCTCTGGGATATTCTGCAGTGCCCTCTGGTTCGACACAGCCCACTGATCAGAGCTGTACGTGTTGGTGTGTGTGAGACAGAGCATACATGTGTATGGGGGAGGGGGCTGTGGCTCTACCGTCCAGGCATCAAACCTCCCTGGAGGTAACCCAGTCAGACTCTGCCTCCCCCACATAACCTTCCTCCGATGTACCGCAAACATATTTCATGGATGGCTAAATTGGATCATTATCACTGGGTGCTCATTTGGTCTCAAAAAAAATTATTAATGTCATCTACCCCCATTCCAATCCCCTGCTTGTGAGGTCCCCTCCCACAAAGACTCTCCAACATGCTAATCCTATGAACTGCGACACACTACAGCTTTAGGGAAAGAATAATGGCGAGAAGAAAGAAGACCGCGGTTGCAGAGAGAAAAGGAGGCTCTAACGTGACTGCAGTCCCCATGCGAAGATGGGGGGAAGGAGCCATGGTGGAGGTAGAGCGGGGAAAGAGGTTAAGGGGAATAAAACCAAGCAAAATGAAGCCCTCGGGCACCTGTGTATGTGACAGAGAGTGTGTGTGCAAGAGCGTGTGCCGGTGTGTGTGTGGATGTGCCGACTTTGCCCTCCTATCAGAAGGCTGCATCCGTGTGGCATGTAGGAAAGGCCATCGCACCACTGTTGTGTTGCAAAAAAAAAAAAAAAAAAGCAAGGAAAAGGGGAAAAAAGAGCCGCAGAGCCATCAGAATCAGAATTTTGTCATGAAAATGGAAAGGGCTGGAGAAACTGGGATGCATCTAGGGTGGGGGGAGCAGTGTGTAGAAATAGAAGGGAAGATCATGGCAGAATTGGGGGAGGATGGAGGGGAAAATTGGTGGTGGGGTGTCAAAATTTCACACACACATAGAGACACAAACACACACAATACCCAAACGCCAACCCGACCGCTCCACTGTTCATCCAAGACTGACAACCCGTCCCCCATCTCTCTGCTGCCTCTCCGTGCCCCCAAAGCTGGTGCCGATGGATTTCTGTATCTCAGTTTTGCAGCAGTGGGCTAATTACAACCAAGCCCCCTCACCAAATTAACCCCTCCCCTCCCTCTCTCTTTTTTTCTCTAAAAGGCCAATTGAAAAATAATGTGTTTTCATAGATAATGGATTTTTTTCAAGGAGCAAGAGAAACGGGGGTGCAGAAGAGAAATTCTGCAAACTGGTGACTTCCGACCTCACCTCCGTCTCCCCTCACGTCCCCGTTTGCTGTAGCATCTCATCTACCGCTCTCCCACCATTCCCTCACCCCCTACCACCCAAAAGAAAAGACCTTCCTACCATGCACATCGACAAACACACCAACCGCCACCCAATCTCAGTAGCCGATCTCAAAACCCCAAGCATCAGTCCACCTCAATACATCCTTTCCCTTATATAAGCAGCAAATCATCAACATAGTCAGGAGAAACGCAGCACTAAAAAGAAATCAACAAAAACGGAGGCCAGAGCCCCGTCAAATCCCCAATAATTAATAACAGGGAACTACCAGAGAAGCAAAGACGTAGTTGTCTCTCAAAATCTAGATTCCCTTTCATTTCTGCCCCTTCCTCTTCTTAAGAAGCAATTTTTTTAAATTATTATTTCACTAGAAAGGGCCAGAAATCTCCAGAAAAAGGGCATTCGCACAGTCCAGTTGTTTTTTAAAAATAAACCCAGCCCTGTTGCTCACTTTAATAGCGAACTTCCAGCGTCCAGCCTTTTCCCCCTCTTCCAGAAGGAAGACGGACTCGCAGGATGAACCCCGGGCTGCAGAAAATGGGCCAAGAGCCCTTACTCCACTCCCCAACAACAAAAAAAATCAAACAATAGGAATATCTGCACAACCAGCACCCGCCTGAAATATCGTTTGTCCCATATGACTTAGGCAGATTAAGCCCAAAGATTAAAAAATAAATACCAGCCCTGCCTCCTCTTGCTCCCCTCCATCCTTCCGCCACATACCCAGTAGCCCTTAGGTAAACTTGCCCATCGTAACCAGCGGGACCATTTTAACTTGAAAGGCGATGCAGAAGCCCTTGAACGATGAAGGAAGGCTCTACCCAGAACAGCAAATTATTAAAGAGCTAGTTCTCCAGGCTCCCCAGACTAACCTCCAGGTGCTCCCAGATAGGCTATCCTGGGTACCAAGTCACCCAGAGCACTGGGAGTTCAAATTTCCACTGGAACCTTCAACACAAAGGCAAACGGTCATCTGACCCCCAAAACTACACCGTCCTCCAGGTGTGACAAGGAGTGCCCCCTCTGCCTCCCAGGGCCATCCACAGGACCCAGCACAGGGAGAGAAAGAATGTGGGGGCGGCTTGTAGTGGTAAAAGAAAAACTATCTCCCCAAAGCGGGAACCGAAGGAAGCGGGGAGAAGACAGCTCGTGTCCTACCAGCTCTCTTATTTGCCCTGACTCTGTCTTGCTCCATCCTAAACTAGCTCTCAATGATCTCTGACCTATGCATTAAAAAAAAAAAGGATTAAAAATAAAGATCAGAAAAGAGGAAAACTACTTTGCCTAAACCTCAATAATCATTAGCAAAAATATGATTTTCTCACCGCATGATGATATTTCTACATCCAAATTAAAAGAGGCAGGCATTTAATGGAGGAAGGGAATTTTTTATTTTTATTTTTTAACAAGTAATCACAGGGTAAGTCACCTGCAAAGCAGCCAAGCCCTTAGGTTGGTATTACATCACTGGCCTAGGAAGGGATGGGGGGTGGGGGGACACATTTTTTTCCTTGTCATCAGGATGATGTTTCTAAAGCAGTTAAGTTTTGTGGTTAAAAAAGAGAGAGGGAAAGAGCTGAAACTCTGGGTACAGCACGATGCCTGGAAAAAACAATACATCGAACCAGGCTTTAAGGTCACTGAGAGCTTGCAAAACCCACAGTGCTTACACAGAGTGGAAGTTTTCAGGCAAGCCTGCTACTAAATCATTAATATAAACAAATGGAAGGCAGTGGAGGAAGATTCCCTTGTAACCGATCCAAACAGGAGCACACACTGGTGCACACACACACACACTCACACACACACTCACATACACACTCCCTTTTCACCTTCTCCAAGTATGCCCACCTTCACAAGACAGGAGTCCAACCTGAATTTTTAGACTCTAGAACCACCTCCTCACGCCCTCTCAAAAAAAAAAAAAAAAAAAAGCATACACACACACTCACATACACCCCAATTCCTCAACAGCTAGGGAAATCCCTGTCTCAACTCAATTTTATTTTCCTCAGAGCGTCCCTTCTGTCTCTCATTTTAACCAGCTCAAATAAATAAAGGAATAAATGAGAAAGTGGTTACAAAATGTCAAAAAAAAAAGTATCTGCCCAAAACGAAGTGATGAGCACACATCGTTTCAGACTAACAATTCAAGCAAATAGGAGAAAGATTTAAAAAAAAGAAAGAAAGAAAGACTTAAAAAAAAAAAAGGAAAAAATCTAAAACATTCTCTGACTTTTCTAACATCTGGAGGAAAAGGGTCCAACTTCCAGGAGAAACTGAAGAAAAAGAAAAGCAGTTGAAAAGCCATTTCCACAGTCAGCCAAGGCTCGCGGATACAGCATTCAAAAAAAAAAAAAAATCTAGGTTGGTCGCTCCCAACTGAAAACTTCTACCCTCTCAGGAGCAGCCTCTTCCCAGAACGGACGAGAACCTTGAGTTCTTTCATACCCTGCCTGCCTGCCTTTGCCCGCAAACCTTACCTTTCCAGTTGAACAGAAGATTTGGGATCTGTCTGTGTGTCTGTTTGATGTTTAATCAACTGAGTTTGCTGGGTATGTTTCCTCTTTGGGGAGGTTCAAATTCCAGAATCTTTCTCTCTCCTTTTCTTTTCCTCTCCCTCTGGGAGGGAGTGGCAGGGAAGAAGGGAGGGGTTGTTGGAGGTGCGAAAAGCCGGTTCTTGGTGGCTGGAGATGCCGAGACTGAGAGAGGGGAGGACAGGTTGCCTCTCCCTCTCAGTGAGTTGCATGCAAGAGGCGATGTGTAGGGCTGAGCGCTGAGCCTGAGACTGCCGGAGGAGCCCAGGAATTTCACGCACTCCAGAGCCGGCCCCTCCCTCTCCCACACAGACCCCAGCATTTAAAGAGACAGTCAGGCCGCCTATCTCAGGGCTTCACCTCCTCCCTGGCTGTTTTGCAAACAGCTGAGAAGGTATCATCAGGGAGGCGCAGTCTGCGGCCCCCACAACTAAGAAGCAGTGTCTGAGCTCAGTTCGTCCCTTACCCCAGCCTCAGAGGAGAGTTCTTCATTAGAACCGAAGCAGGAATTAATATAAAGACAAAAATCCTCATTTACAGCTTCAGCAGACCAAACCACTTCCCCACTGTTGAGGAAGTGTGTGTCTCCTTGCAGACTGAGGGACTCTAACCTACAAGTGTGCCTCAGTTTCCCTGAGTAGTTGCTCTTCCTTGCAAAATCAGGGCAATCCTTGAGCATCTGCTGGAGGTCAGGGCTGTAACTAGGACACAAATCTATTTCTTCAACCAGCACTTTGAATGCCTGCTTTGGATGAAGCATAGTGCAAGGGGCTGGGGACATAGAAATGAAAGTGACAAATGGGGCTTCCTCTCTCAGAGACCCTAGCAGAAAAACAGACCCAGGCACAGCCCATCGCATCCTAAGGGGCTGCCAGCTAAGAGTCACAGGCAGGAATCAAGCGTTTTGGTGACTCAGGAATATGGCTCCCTTTTGTGGCTTGCACTCTGAGCTCTGAGCCTAGGCAATTCCACTGCACCCCCAAACCCTTGAAAATCCATTGTCAGCCTTGACCAACTAGTTCGTGTCTGCGGAAATGCTTCCCCTATCAAACCTAACTGAAAGATGACAGCCAGTGGCACCCAATGCAAAGGTTTTGCTCAGCATCAGACCCTGGCACTTCAAGTGGAAATGCAGCCCCAAACTTCTTTCTTCTCCGGCCTCCCCTTTTTAAGGGCTGCAGTGCGTGTCTGTCCATGGAGCAGCACCAATCCACTAATAGCTGTCGAGCACTTACCATATACCACCACGTGGGTCATCTCATTCAGTCCAGCTAGGACAGTGCTATTTGACAGTTGAGGTCCATTTTACAGTCTTAAAAATCAAAGCTTTAGAGAGGTTGCCCAAGGTCACACAGCTGGAAGCTGCTGAGAATGAATTTGAACTTAGGTCTATCCCACCCCAGAGCCTGCCTGCTTAGCCACAGTACTCTATTGCGTTCCTGCCAAGGATGGTAGTTCTTACATTTCTGCCCTTTACTGGACATTCTTGCAGGATCCTAGCACTTTCCCAACCCAGCAAACTTTAATAGAACATGTACCAGGCATCATGCTCACAAGAAACAAAATGAATCTATCAAGGTCTGAACCCCAAGGACTCCACGTAGCATTGGAGGAGGACAGAAATGTGCTTCTATAAAGCAAGGGGAAAATAATCATGAGAGCAATGTAGAGGAAGCTCTAGGGGATTGTCAATAAGCAAGGGATTAATTTCAATTTGGAGGAAGGGGATATCAAGGCAAGCTTGGTGGACCAAAGTGGCATCTGGGCTGAGACTAGATGGACACATGCACTTCCAGCATTACTAGGCTACTTTTCCATCTGTTTTACCTTTCAGATCACAATCGCATTTTCTTATGTGTCTTTGGCTCTCCAGCCTTCAACATCTCCACTGTACCCAGCAGTTTTAGGAACACAGACATGCTCTCATTGATTAATTTTATATTTCATCTGACCTCCCACCGGTTTAATCTAGAACTGAACTGCCCTGGCCACCAGTCCCCTATCCTCCTTACCTGGCCTTCCTGGAAGGATCTGCACCCAATTTGTCCACAGAATGTGGAAGGGAAGTTCAGAAGGCACAGTGACATTGCACTAGATATCAGGAGCTCCTGGGGGAAGAACCATGTAAAGGAGCCACTGTGATCCAGCAGGACATCGGGAACAGCCAGGGAAACTGTAAGCTCTTCTTGGGGGCAGCAGGAAGAGATCTACTAAGGGATGAGAAGGCAGAAGCCTCAAGGGAAAGCCTGAGGACTCAGTGCCCTGCAGATGTCAGCGCCCATGGGAATCCTGTGACAAACACCAGCCTAGAAAGGACATCCCTGCGAGAAGTCCACAGTGTGTCTGCAGGACAGCCTAGAGGTTAAGGGACATGCCTGGATTCCAATCCCATCTGGGCCACCTAAATTCTTTCTCCAAGTCTTAGCATCCTCAACTATGAAATGGTGGTAACACCTATACTTACTTCATAGAGTTGTTTTGAGAAACAAGTATTAAAATACTTGTAGGACACCTGCCCCACAGAAGTACTCAACAGATGTTCGCTACCTCGGCCCAAAGGTCTGCATTTGCCCCTGCATGGAATTATTAACTTTGGACTGCCCCCTATAATTGGCATTCCTTTATTTCAAGTTATTATGTCCCTTTTAATAATTTAGCTTATTATTTAGAGTATCACTGTAGTCATTATTATTTACTTCGTTTTAGCCCCTTTGATTTCTAACCGACTTTAACTTGTATATTTTGAATATGCTTGTTGTTATTTTATTCCGTTTTGTACTTTCTTAGGCTTCTTAAGTGTTATTTACCTTTCAATTACTCCAGTGCAGCCTTTTAGTTTGCCTTTTATCATGAAATCTGTGGGCTCATTTTGTCTCTTCCCTCCACACCATTTGAGCTAACTACCACTCTGCTTATTCTAGTGATCCAGCATTCCCCAGATAGCTCCATATTTGTAAAGATGGTTATGTACAAAATAGCAGGGAAAGCCAACATCAAAGAGAGTAAGACGGGTCTCCTTGCAGACACGTAATGCAACCATAAGCAAAAAGCACTATCAGGTGTTTGCCCAAATGATGGTGCCACGTCAGCAATGGCACTAATTTTTATTTATTAAGGGAGAACTCAATGGGTACAACTGAAGCCCTCAGAGACCCTGGGCCTTCTCAGCTCTCAGCTCTGTCCTGGGCTAAGGAGGGCCATGATCAGAGGTCATTAGGTTAGAAAGTTCCCTCACAGGCCTATCTTCCTTCCTTTGATTCGACTGTGGAGCTCCATCTTCACTCAGTTCAGGGAGAGAACAAATAGACCAGGGACTATTTCAGCTTTTCTCAAATGTGCCAGACCAGTGCTTTCAGCATGTAGCAAGAAAAAATTTCATTACCAATCAAAAGGATATGTTGCCCATGGCATTCTGAAAAAAAAAAAAAAAAAAGTTATTACATTGATAATAATAATATACATTACAATTACATTAATGATTATAATATAAATATAATTAATAATAATAACTACTATCACAAATGACCACCTGCCAATCCTCTACCTAGAAGCATGTGGTTAAGAGCCCAAGGCTCTGCAAACAGGACATCTGGGTTCAAATCCTAGCTCCACCATTTGCGGGCCATGAGACCTTAGCCAAGTTCCTAACATCTTGAGCCTCCATTTTCTCACCTATTAAACGGGAATGGTAATGGTACCAAATGCTTCCTGTGAGAATTGTATCAAAAGCACCAACAGTAGTGAATGGCACATGGGAAGTCCACAATGGCGAGTATTGGTCATTATGATCAGAGTGGAATTTAAAATATTTAATATCTGAGATGGTCCAGTAAGCCACCAATCAGACTGGAAGGTGACCAAAAGCAACTTCCTTCACCTTACCAAGGCATACCAGCTACCCGCTTGATTATTAGCACTTTTACCAACTGCAGGTACTAAGCTAGGCATTTGGCATGCACTAATGCATTATCTCATTTAATCCTCACAGCAACTTGGTTTTATTATGTTATGTATTGAAATACATGCAATTGCACATTTATAAATAAGACTATGCCTATAAAATCAGAGTTCTACATAAAATGGCTTCGCATATCCGTTCCTGCCACCCTAACGACGCCTAGTATGTGAATTTCAAGGGTTGCTTTTTCTGGGACATTTTTAGCCTCGTTACATAGGTTTCTTCTTTTACTTACTCATTCTTTCAATAAACTCTGGGGAAAAAAATTATGTTCCATGGCTCAGTTTCTTCATCCATTAAATGGGTGTTTCTTTCTAAGTTCCCACTACTCGACTCTAACCAAACCTGAGAACATCAAAGTCTTCTCCAGCCAAGACCAAAGTCACTAGAAATCAGGCATTAGACAGTTCTAATCCCTCAGCTAGCACTTCAGTTGTGTCAAACCCTCCAGGCTCCCAAACTGCCCCATAAACTTGGATTTTTAGTCACTACGGTCCACACATGACTTATCCCTAAGCAGATTTCAAATTCAGCCCCCAATGCTACTAGCCCAAAGCATTTTGCCTAAGGCTCCTTCAAACATTCCTGCGCTCTTCTCTCCTCTCCTCCCCCAAGAGCTGTGTTGCAGTGCTGGCCTCCTGGAGTTTGTTCGGCTTTCTGTCACCTATGTGATGATGATTCTAGTGTTATTAATAGGTGACTGCTTATTAATTAGTATTATTAGACATGTGCCGTGCAGCGCAGACAGTACCACAGAGGGACCTGGCATCCTTCAAGGAGAAAATTTGTACAAAAAGATTTGTCCCTGGGGCCCAGTAAAAGGACACAGGCCCAGCAGTGAGTCATGGGGAGCCAACAGCAGTGCTTCCCAAATTCTAAAAGCCAGGCACCTAATCTAGACAGCTATGTCTGGCATGGGAAGGAAGGAGAAGCAAATATGAGATTTGCAGGCATGTGTGAACACAAGCCCAAAGAGAAGCCTGAGCACTCAGGCCTTGAGGAGGTCACCTCCCATGAAATGTTTCTCAGTCCAGGCATCCCTCCCACCAGGGTATGTGCTGTTCCCAAAGAGGCAGCAGTAAGGGCTAGCTCCTAGAAACAGCAAGGGTCTCCAACTTCTAACTCTAATGGGGAGCTCTCTACCTTCATGTTCCTATCCTGCTTATTCCATGGGAATAAAATCGTCTCAGGGGCTCACAGCCGATAGAAGCCTCCCAGCCAACTCCCTGAATTCAGCAGCCTTTTGCCAGTCCTCTGCACAGGACCACCAACTCCTGCCTTGGGGAGAGCCAG